ACTCCCCGAAAGCACATAATTGCCAGTTCCAAGTCATGCATGGCAAGCATAGCTTACCATAAACAAATGGCAGGTTTCGGGCTACTGTATACGAGACCAATTGCAGGTCAGCAACCCGGGTAACCTCAGGTCATCCCAGGTAGCCCTGGATTCTTGCTTGTAGTTCTCAATGTCACCTAGACCACACCAGAATAGTAACACTCTGATACGAAGAAGGAGGTAGCTAATGGACCCTGCAAGCGGGACACCGCTCGGTACTTGGCCCAGAAAGTTTTGTCTTTCTGGGCCCTCACACCTACGACCGGATGTTCAGGCTCTCAGGCCCAGTGCAGACAGGCCACAGGGAAATGAGATCACCTCTACCCTGGGAAACTCTCCTGAGCTTGGCTCACTCTAACTCATAGACATCTGCTTCCCCTCACTGTCTAACATCAAAGAGCAAGCCCACTTCATATCATTGGCTATGTGTGTCTCTGTGTGTGTGTGTGGGGGGGTGTTCAAGTTCCCTGCACACGGTTACGTAGAAGTGCACAGCGCACACAATAGCACGTGACACTAGGAGTCAGTAGTGCACACACACACACACACACACACACACACACACACACACACACACACCAGTAGACATGAAATGCCAGAACTCCCTTCAAAGAAGGACTTGTTGATCTAGACACTAGAAGGCCATATGAATCAGTATTAAGCTGTCAGAGGCAGAAAGGCCACTTGGCCCAAAGTCCCATCTTTAACTCGTTGACCCACATACAGTAACCCAACTGGCGGGGGTCATTTGGACCCAGTGCAGGGGAACCCAGGCAGCCTTTAGAGCTCCAGAGTTCCAAGGTAAAGGCCAGGCCCTCTTCTTTCTGCCCTCACCTCCACAGTTGTTTCCATTTACATACTATCCCTTAGGAAATACTCTAATAAAGATCCCTGTGCGAGCTCCCTGCCCGAGTCTGTCTCCTGAAACACCTCCGAGGCAATGCAGGGAACTCCTACCCAGGCCCATCACCTGGCACGCCTTTGGGTAACTGGGGCTTGCTGCCCGAGCATCTGACCCTTGCTGATCTGGGATTTAGAGGCAAAGCCTGGGAGGTAGCACACTCCGGGGAGACTTGAAAGCATGGGGCTCCCAGGGACGAGCTACACCTCCAGTGGGAGCAAGCAAGGTCCTCTAGAGTGGACAGAGTGGACAGCTGCATGGTATGTGGAGATGATTCACAGCTAGTTAGGAAGGCACAGACCGGAGGTTTTAATACCATTCTCTCCAACTCAGCCTTGCTGCTAGCAGTGTCAAAAAATACACAAAGAATTGGGGCAACTTATCAATGATTAACCATGGAAAGAGCATCTCGCAAATTCAATTTGCTATTATTTCGTCCTTGAATTCCCCTTCCCTGCAAATGCCCTGGTAATTGGAATGACTTCTCCTAAGTGGTGTGGGAAGACTAATAGGCCTACTTCACACAACTGTTCACCTAACGCTCACCTTCTGGTGGTCTTTTGAAATGTATTTGAAGCTATTGTAATTTTTTAATTATACTTTAATGAATTCTTGGGGGAAGAGTGTGATTTGAAAGGATATATACCTGCTGAAGAGTGAGCTAATAATACATCCTTGTAAGAAAGAAGTGATCAAAGGCATCTCCAGATTATACTCATTTATCAAGTCATGGAATTAAACTAAAAAAATGTGTGTCAAAATACTTACAGATGATTCTAATTTAATATTACCTAAGACCATGAATATTGTTCCAAAGGGAGCAAACTAGGAAATGAAACTGTGCCAAGGGGGATGAGAAGTTGTAACCGAATATTTGAGGATGGAAGTTCTGGCGGTGGTGGCACACTCCTTTAATACCAGCACTTGGGTGGCAGAGGCAGGCGGATCTCTGTGAGTTTGAGGTCAGCCTGGTCTACAGTAAGAGCTAGTTCCAGGACAGCCTCCAACCTGTCTCAAAAACAAGCAACAACAAAAACCAAAGATGTGTTCCTTAATATACAAAAGCAAGTTTAAAGCTCACATATCAACTCTGACTACTAAGGACTTAAGTTTGGGTGTTGATTTTTTTTTATTGTAGGGGAGTTGACCTGGAGCAAAAGAACTGAGTTTCCATGGGAACCCAGGGTTTTAAATCATTAAGAAGCCCTGACCAAGCAGCCAGAAACACCATGCACACCAGGACAAGGCTGGTCTACATAGGAAGACAGATTGGGCTGTAAATTGACCCAGTCAATGGTGAAGAAAAAGATAGCTCAAAACAAATGATGCCCCATAGAGATAATTCATTCTGTCAATTTTACTAGCTAATAGGCCTCTATTAGGGTTTGATAAATGAAGGAACCAGGCTCATCCGTATAATTAATCAATCCTAAAAGTTACCGCCAGTGTCAGGTTCCAAGCATAGATCTACCTAGGAAATCCTCCTAGGCCCTTTCCTGGACTGCACTCGATGTTGCAAAATAGACATGTGACATTCCAGACACACCAGATGCAGCGTGCTTCAGGAGTTTGAGAGATGGGTTCCTGAGTCTCTGAGGGTCAGGATCTCGTGCAGCCCCCAGGAACAGCTGATCTCAATTCCAGGTGTTGGTGAGGCTTCCTCGGTTACACTCAGCAGATCACTGTCCAAGCTCCAGGGAATAAGTGAATTCAGACCAGCCAATCGCTCTTGTCTCACAGAACCCCCATGCGAAGCAAATGTGACATGTGTCATTCAAAACGTGGTTCCTTGTTCACTATTCTTGAAGATCAGTAGCCCATACCGCCCTCGCCGCTGCTTCATGCTGGGAGGTTCCTGGGGGTTTAAATGTCACTGTCATCTCTTCAGTTTCTAACTTCATCTAGTGTCCTGTGAGAAATGCACTTTGGAAATCCTTCTGATAGAAATATATATTAGCTGCCATGTCTACAATAATAATTGTGGATTAAGTAAAGTGATCTTACACAGTAAAGCTCTTTTAATGTCCCAGAGGTATTTGCATCAAAACCACAGGCTGTATCCTCACCCCTAAGCTCCTTGGACATGGTCCTGCCAGGTTCCTGGTTTGTCTTCATTTCTGATACAGTTGCTAGGCCCAGAAGACCTTATGTAGCACAAGCGTAACACGCAATGCACAGCAATACCTCTGAATACCACACCACACTGAAGTACGAGTGACTGAGATCACAATGCTTCAGGAAAACTCAACGGCAGACACAAACTCCCCAGCATGTGTGAGTAAGATGGAACCAGCCGTGTCTGCAAACTGAGGAAAGTAGTAGACACCATTCCTGAGGGGTTGGACTTCTGGGTCTGTAGTAAGTACAAATAGAGGCTGGAGAGAAGGCTTGGTGCTGTTCTCACAAAGGCCCATGTTCTAGTTCTACACTCGCTTTAGGCAGCTCCCAGTCCCTGTAACTCAAGCCCCTGGTGACCTGATGCTTCTGCTACTACCCCTGTGGGTAAACACACAGACACACATACACACACACACATACATACAAAGACACACATACATACACACACATACACACATACACAGACACACATGCACACACATACACAGACACACATACATAGACACACACATACACAGACACACACATACAAAGACACACATACATACACACATACATAGACACACACACAGACACAGACACACAGGTACAAAGATACACATACATACACATATACATAGGCACACACACATACATATACACAGACACACATACGCACACATACACAGACACACACATACATACACATACACAGACACACAAACACACACATAGATAGACACACACGCAGCACACATACACACATACATAGACATACATACATAGACACACACAGACACAGACACACATACATACACATACAAAGACACACATACATACACATACATATACACATACACACACATACACAGACACACACATACACACATATACACACATGCACACACATACACATACACAAACACACATACATACATACACACAGACACACATGCACACATGTGCATACACACAGAGGCACACACTTACACACAGACACACACTCCTTTTATACCTGTCTTTAAAGAATGAACTGAGAATAAAATACCATCCATTGCTAAGAGCGGGTCTTGATGGGTCCCTTCATTAGAAAGGGTGGCAGTCTTGACGTGTGTTTTATGGGATGAGAAGCCTCTTAACATAACAGAACCATTATAGAACCATCAGCCAGTGCTGTCGATTACTTTTAGTCTCCTGTGAAACTATTTCTCCCTAGGTTAAAGATGCATAAACAGAGGTCTAGCTCTGTGGAAGCTAGATGTGAAAAGGCTTTGGAAATGAGCTGCTGTTTGCAATGACCCTAAGAGAAAGATAGTTTGTAATGGGGTTTAATCTCTGGAATAAGCATACAAAGCCGGTTGAAATCAAAGCAGGTGACTGTCCAAATGGCATGTGTTTGCAGGCAATTGGGATTATACTCAAAAGGCTCACACCCTTTATCTCAGGTACTCAAAACTGGATAACCTGAGTAGGGATAGGGCCAGCAGCTGGCACTAGGTCCCAGGAACAGTGGGTACGATAGACAGGATATGTCACCAGGCAGGGTCTTGGATCTGGATGGGTGTGAGCAAAGCCCTGTGTGCAGGACCTCCCCTCAGACCACTGTTGCTGGTGCGCCCCCTCTCAAGTGTGCGCTCCAGAGCGATTTCAGCCCATTGGGAGGCCGTGAGGAGACTCCACTCTTCACGTCTCACCAAAGCCCACAGGGAAGCCCCTACAACAAGCAGGCATCACTGATTCTGGAGTTTAGGACTTATTAGTGACATGAGGGCACGGGTGTCCCTGGGGATCTAAGCTCCCAACCCCCCCTCCCCCAGCACTAGGCACCCACATTTCCAGGTTCGCTTTGGAGAGAAGCAACGCCCCCGCCTGTTTCCGTGCCTTCCCGAGTTCATCGTAGGTTTTAGAACCAAAAAACAAAGGCTGGGCGAAGGGTGGGCGGCTCGAGTGGGCTCCATCTCTGGGGCCCTGGCCGCTGCCTCTCCTGCGACGCTGGTGCCTACCGCGGTGTCACCTTGGTTCTCCAGAGTGCGGCGCTGTGCCCGCTTGTATCCCGAAGAAGAGAAGAGTCGCTTAGTGCGCTGACAGCGCGGTTCAGCCCGTGGAGCCCGGCAGCATTCATTGAATCTGCGGCTTTCATGAAGTCTCCCTACAAGGTCCTTCACTTTGCTCCTAAACGTGGATTTTTTTTTCTTCCCCCTGCCATTCTAGTCTCCCCGCCTCTTCCTTGCAGCCGGACTCCCTCCTCCGGTCCCTGCCCACACGCGCACTCCTCTGCCCCGCGTTGGCCCCAGCGCCCAGCCCTCCAGCCAGAGGGAGCCAGTCACCAGACGGCAGCACCTGGCTGGAGAGGTTGGGCGGGCCGCGAGGGTGGGGATCCGCGGGAACCGGCGAGCCGGGAGCTGGAGCAGAAGCTGGACCAAGCGCGAGCAGGAGAATGGAGTCTCCCGACAGCCTGCCGAGGCTGATGTGAAATTGGACCATCTGCTTCCAGTTGGTTCTGTTTCCTCTTCTTCTTGTATTTTCTTCCCTCGCCATCCACAGTGGAGTGAATTATCAGATCTTGCTCCGCTCCCAGAAAGACGACCACCATGGAGTGAGCCCACCCTGTCCGCCACAAGGTAAGCAGTGCGCTAAGTTGCTGGAAGGCTAGGAACTGGCATGGATCCCGGCCAGATGTTCCGCCGCGCGTCCTAGGTTCCCGGAGCCTTTGGGTCCTGGCACCCAGGTCCCCAGCCCCACTGTGGCTACATGCATTCCCCACTCTGAGGCGACATGATGCTGAAGTCCACCAGAGGCAGGAAAAAGCAAGTTACATAACCGAAAGGAAATGTGTGCCTCATGGGTTTTCATTAGCAGCTTAAAAACTCGCCTGGGGGCCGGCGGGAGGAGGGGTCTGCCTGCCCTAGGCGCGAGAGAATGGGTCAGTTTACTATGGGTCTCATTTCAGCACCTCTGGAGATCAAACACACTGACGATCTCAGGCAGGCAGGCAGGCGCGGATGGCTGGCAGGTGTAGGCAGGGAGAGTTAGGAAAAGCCCATTGTCTTGCTGGAAGGCTGTAGCCTTGCTCTGTTTGGCATAACGAGGAGAGGATGCAAAGGAGGAAAAGTGAGGAGAAGGGAGGAGTAAACCATGAGACCCGGGAGGACACCACACGGTTTCCTTCAGTAAAGAGATGTGGCATACTGATTGAAGACACTAACTAGGAAGATGACCCCCCCCAAGTAAACTAACTGAAAGGAGAAAGCACCTTGGATCAAACGAGGTGTTTATGGTGTTTAGGGGGCTGGGTTAATCTACTGACTTAGCCTCTCTCCTGGGTGTGTGGTCACTGGCATCCACACGTTAAGCTTGGGTTAGTTTTTAACTGAAAGGGCATTCGTATTCTCCAAGCCCAGTGAAGCCCTGGGTGGATCCACAGGTATACATACACAGGGCTCAACATGGAGAGACTCTTAGGGGAAAACAGATCTTCATAGAAACGGTCGCAGAAGCCAGGTGAGCTCCGTGGAAAAGGGAATAACAGAATTTTCAAAAAAAAATCCTTCTCCACCTCTTCTCCCACGCACACACAAAACAGAAGGGAACCCCTCCAGTGTCTGGGAGTTGGGAATTCATTGCCCTTTTAAGGTGCCCCCGACTGCTTTATCCCAAGTCTCAGGGTCCTGGGGAGCACACAGGTACCCACTTTTCTGCAAGCACTATAGCCTGGCTACCTTTCTCTTTTACTGAAAAAAAAAGGAAAATGTCGAAAAAAGTGGGCTTCCTACAGTCAGGGTTGAGCTAACTAAGCTTCGCCCATTTTGCCTGGAGAAGGAAGAAGCTGAGTCTCCATGGCGACCCAGGTGGGAGGGGACATAGCAGCTCCAGTGACAGGAAAAACCGTTGGACAAAACTTTCTTGGCTCCAGGCAAAGAAATGCTCTCTGTGTGCCCTATGGGGGTGGTCCTGGGAGCATCATCTGGACCCAGCTCTCTAGGGGTGAGCCCTGCCAGGCTCTCCACCGACAGAGCAAAAGTTTCCCATATCTGCGAATGCGGTTCTCAGCCAGCTCCCTGTTCAGCACCAAGGCCAGAGCAAGGTGCCGCAGGCTGGCTTCTCTGGTAGGATGACTGCCCCAGCTCGCAATCTCTACAACTTCTGGGTTTTAGGAAGGCAATCGTATCCTTAAAAACTTCCCTGCTTGTGCTGAAAACGGGTGTCAGATTACCCATGGAATTCCGTGGCACACAGGAGATAGCAAATCAACCACTCCATGCATGATGGTGCGTCAAGAAACTGTCCAAAATTAAAAACAAAAACAAAAACCAATGGAACTGAAAAAGACTAACACTGACCTAAGAATGGAGAAAAGATCCCTCCTCTGGGAAGAGAAACAACACACACACACACACACACACACACACACACACACACACACACACACACACACACACAGAGTCCCTGAAGAAAACAGTTGGATTTGAACCAAGTGTCTCTGACTTGCAGAACAAGCCTGCTTCTCTCACAGGCTTTCTAACTTTGTGTTAGACACTGTATCAGGAAGGCAGTGTGAGGCAGCCTGGCCAGTACGAGACCAGTCAACCAACTCCTGCCTAGGGTTTTTAGATCCAAGAGGGTGGAGAAGCAGTTTTACTCTTTGTTCAGACTTGGCTGGATCCTTCAAGGCAGCATAATGAGCAAGGTAGCTGGTTTTCCAGGATTGCAGACATGGCAAAGTGGACAGAATCATTCCTATTAATATAAAAAAGGGAGAGAGAGCCTTGCAAGAGGAGAGGCTTGTCATTCAAGTTCATTTGGACGTAGATCCAAGTGAGTACAAGGATCCTTTCAACCTTACTGGAAGATGGTCTCTGCTTTGCGTCTTCCATCAGTGGTCCTAGGCCCCCACCTGTCATAGTTGATAAAGAAAATAGTGCAGGTAGTTGCATGTCAAGTAAAAATAAAAAGCCCTGAACAGGGGCATCCAGGTGCAGTGGGTACAGGCGGAGTTGTGGGACTTTGCCAAGGTTTGAGGAGCAGAAAAACATCAGAGGCACTTCTAGGATATCCCTGGTTGTTTTCCTCTGGAGGACTCGTTTGTGTATAAGATCTCGAGCTGGCCCTGACTTGTTATCCATAAAGGTAAACACAATATACTTTGGTATACATCTGGGCTTTCCAGAACCATGGATGCGTTACTGTTTTCCTAAGGATCGTGCATGCGGAGTACTTGGGGATGTGGCTAACGCACTGTGTTGATAACTGTTAGGCTTTTTAACTCGTCTCTAGCCAGCCAAGGTAGAGCTGTGCATTCTGAACATGGTTAAAGGGGTGAGAGATCGTGCCATTTCTTGAATTGCAGATCCTGATGTCTGTTGACAAGTTTGTCCGTGTTTTAATTTATACAGCTTGTTATCTGAAATAGAAGTGATGTGTAGAATATTTTGGGACTTAAACAAGCTGTACTCTGGCTTTGATCCATCTGCTATTACCAACCAGAAGGGAACTGGTGATGGGAGGCAATAATGGAGACTGTTAGATACAGAAGGTGGCCTATCTGTGAGTTTTAAAGTTCAAGTTCTCTCACAAACTTTGAGAGAGAAGGCTGGAAATAAGCCCAGCACAGGAAACTTGCCCACCTCACTTCCAGTGAATCCTGTGTAATAATCAGATGATTTCTTCACCAGTAGCCTTTAGTGATGATGGGTTCCAGGAGCGCAGATTCAGTGCTAATTTTCCAAACTATGACTTGCTTACTTCCTGGTGGCTAGTTACTAATCAAAGTGCCGTTATGCCCTGTGTAGTCAACGGCACACTCTAGATTAAATGGTTTACCCATTGCAAGTAAGATTAGGTAAGGAGAACAACTCATGCAACCCATCCCGGCATGGAGCTATGTTTTGCATCCTTCAGAATTTACACTGATGCCTCACTCTCTCATTCCTGTAACAGCAGCCGATAGTGCATTCAGGTCTGTGGCCCGGGTCTTTACTGGGATTGCAGTGTTTTAGTAGCCCGTTCCCTCTGAGCTATGCAAATACTTTTGCTCTCTCCGATGTTCCTCCCCCTCCTATTTCAAACCACCTCCACTCCACATACTCCTTTGAAAGAGAGAAATAGCTTTAAAATGAATAGCAGGAAGGCTCACTGGCGATTAAAACGGGTGAATAAACCCTTATCTAGCCTTAGCACCAACCCTTGATATTCACAAATAGAATTCAACACCAATGGAAACCTGTATAAAGGGAGGCTCTGCCTAAAACAAGACAAAAAAAAACTCATCCTTGTGCAAATAAAACAAAAGTATCATGTAGCTTCCTTCCCAAGGAAAGCTGGCCAAAGAATAGCCAACGGGGAAAAGAAGCGATTCGGAGAAAGGCAGTTACTTGTTTTTCTCCAAAGTGATCACTCTTTCCAAATCACATTTTTTAATGGTTTGTATCAGAGCTTTAAGCTTGATGAAGTCAGATGTTCAGATGTAATTAATTTAGACGTAGAACTTAATGAGATGGTACGTACCTATTATTTCCTTACTTTGTAATAATTGTCACATAAGCGCTGAAAGAAAATTAATTCATCCTAGAGTCTTACCAAACTATGAAAACCGTTCCTCTCAGGAAATTGGGAATTGCTTGTTAAGCTGGAAAAGCATTAAGAACGCTTCCAAGCCATTGAAACTTCATTCCAGGTGTGGTTTTCATGCACTGTAATTTAAGGATTTGGGACTCTCTAGCAAAATAGCATGCAACCATTTGGGGTTTTTTTAAATGTATCTTAAAATGTAGCGACAAATAGTTATTTCTAGAAATAGTTAAGATCCATTACAGAAGGGATCATGGTGACCACAGTTGACATACTAATGGGATTTAAGGTTCGTCCTCACATTGCCCTAGAATATGCACCTACTTGATGTCATGCAATGGCATTAATTAATGGTGACATCCGCTGCTTTTGAGAAAGAAGAGTCCACCTGTCTCCAAACATGTCCTAAGCTATAGCTGCCATGTGCCCATACTTCGAACCAGTTATATTCATTGGCTTATCAATGAATAGTTACTTAGACAAGACCTCGGAGAATTACTTTGCTCGGTGATCAATGCTCAAACAGTCATTCAAATCACTCCCTTATTCAGAGTTCAGTAAGACCATCTATCAGCTGTCCTGATTGCAGCACAGAAAGTTATGCATCTTATCCAAATGTTGGTAGGATCCGCATCTCTGCAGACGCATGCAGGTTGAGCTGGGAGCCTTAACACCACCACCACCACCACCACCACCACCACCACCCGCCGCCATGTTTCCTATCTCTCCACTGCTCAGCTTTAGTCTGGGACTGTGCATTGATGATGCTTTTAGTGAAGGGATTTTCGCTAACTCTCCTCCACCCTCCATCCCAGTATCCAGTCCTTAGCCAGAGAGATACCATCCCTAGTGTGGAATCTTAACAAAAGCACTGGTGAGTCCATCTGTGGGTGGAAAGATCCTCATCCAGCAGGTGCCGCACCAGACAATCTTAGAGCAGAAATGCACCATGGGAAAACACATTTGCAGGTTTAGTTCATCCCAGCCCTGGAGAATTTCTCTCTACACTTAGAGGTACCTACCTTGGTCCTGTGCAGCATGAGGACTTGTTTGT